CACAATCATTCAGATCTGACAGAGTTCACAGGGGACAAACGACATGAACACCAGCATCAGTCAGTTTCAAGTGGACAGAAGGCTTGCCATAATTATTCACACTGGTTTACTCAGTTTATTTGATGATTAATTCAGTTCAGTTTAGGACATGACAGCAATCAGAGTTCTAGTGTGGACAGATGCATTTCAACTGATCTGCTTCCTATGGAGGGCCAGGTTTTAGTCTCAGGAAATGTTATCTAGGTCTTTTTGTACTGTCACAGATTTTCTCATACGCTATTGTGATCAGATTATCCATATTAATACACTATTTGGTAAGATAATCAGTAAACCATTATAAAACAATCTAAATGACAGGACTGCCTGTCATCCAGCTCTATACTGATTAGGATCCATGGATATAGAGTTGCTAATCAGTTAGCTCATTCATTTCAATAAAGCTATTTTTTCACAAATAACTGGCCCATAATTACTCTGGGAATTCTAAATAATATTTCTGAGATCTTTTTTAACAGTACAGAAGCAGTCTTGCAAATGAAAAAAAAAGTACCAATTAGGTTGAAATGAAATTTATGTCACAGTGACTTAAATGAATTCTATGAAAGTTAAATGCTGGCTGGGACAGAAAAATGCAAACTACAATATACACATCAGTTGATACAAATAGAAGACCGCCATATCAGAACACATTTTAGAGAAATTTCTTGATAATAACCAACTGCTTTTTATTATCCAGTTTTGCATCATGTAACCAAAGCTACTGTTTACTTAGTCCTGATTAAGATACATAACTGAATCTAATAATTTAGTAAGATCAATATTTTTATGGCAGTGATGATGGCAAGATGTATAGATGGTATGGATACAAAAAGGAGGAGAGAGAAAGGTTATGGACAAAAAGGGAAAAACAAGAAAAGTAAACTTTTAGTCATAGTTTCAACTTAAATTATACTGAAATTGAGCAATAAAAGTGTGCATATTTTTAAAAATTATAAAAAGAAAAAAAAAGAAAACAGTGAGGGGAAAAAAGAACATTGAAATGACTGAATGAACATTAAAAACATTATCTGAGCTGAACAGGTAATCATCAGTGAATGTAGATCTCACCTTCATTAAGTCAAGAGAAAGGAACCTGAGTCCTTAGATTTCTCTTGTTATGCTTTCCCTGAGTAGAGTGAGAAGGCTTTTATATACTGTTGAAAGGGACCTTAAATGGAGTAGGTGTCTAAATTCCATTAAGAATGGATGTGTTCATTCTTTTGAACATAATTATTCTTTTGAGGGAATTTCCTAAACAACAATAGTTTCTTAAAAGATACTCATTAAAACTTGAGATAAAATGCATATAAAAGCAAAAGATAGAATTTTGCACAACGTCGCTATATGTATAAAAGTCATAAGCTAAACGAGGTCAGAGATCCTCCGTTTATTTACAGAGAAAAGAAAGGTCTTTTTTTTTCTTGGAAGAGAACTGTATCCCTTTGATGACTCACAGATCAGCTTGACATTCCCCTTAAAGCATCTGTAACAGGCATTGTAAAGCTTTCCTTCCAATGATGCTGTGGTACTAAGGGGACACAGCACATAAGTTCAACAGGGAAAAACCTAGGTTGTGTCTACACAGCAGAATGCAGTGCTTTGTAAATAGCTAATTTGTGGCTAACTTAGTTATCTCAGATCCTGGAAGTATATCGCTGTGTTAGCACAATAGTCTGCTTGGCTTATTAACTGTGTGGAGAAGCCAGACTTATCCTTTCAGACTATATCCTCATTAAGTCAAAAGATGCATTTAGGAAGAGCTTAGTGAACACCAGCTGGCTATGCCTACTTAACAACTTTACAGTCAGTACAACTAACACTAGCACACAGAACAGCAGGTGTACTGCATACAGATAAATGAGAGAATAAAATTCTGTGGGAGACAATATAAAATAATAAATGGCACATTTACTGAGTCATTCCTTTTGCCCACTTATGTGAGAACCCTGGCTCCTGTTAGTTCTGGAGGACAAAATAAGGATGATAAAACTGGGCTGCTTTATTCTCAAATTCCTTGTTTTCAAAGACATACAAAAGACTAGAACTCTTAGTTCCAAAATGATACCTTTTAGTAGACCAACTGGAAAATGGCAAGAATATTGTCCTTTTCTGCAAGCTTTCAGGATCAAAGTTTTTATCATAGTTTTTAGTTGCAGACTTACATATATGATCAATTGATGTTCTGTAAGGACATCAAGCAAAACTAGTCAACTTCACCTCTATGTTAGCTAAATTTCTAAGAGTGTACAGAAAGAAATAAAAAGAAAGTTACATGTTATCCTTAGACCAAGGGAACTTAAAAGTGATTATCTGAAATTTAAAGCTCATTAACTTCTACTAAGTGCTCTCTGAGTGTGTCAAAGATGTGCCACTTCAGACAAAGGTTAACTCTGGGCCATGTTACCTAGCTCATGTTAGGGTAACTTCAGTCTGCTTCAGAGAGAAAATCAACAATTTCATAGAATCGTAGAAAATTAGGGTTGGAAGGGACCTCAGGAGGTCATCTAGTCCAACCCCGTGCTCAAAGCAGCATCAGCCCCAACTAGATCATCCCAATCAAAGCTTTGTCTAATCAGGTTTTGAAAACCCCAAGGTTGGAGCTTCCACCACCTCTCTGGGTGACCTGGTTCCAGTGCTCTCTCATTCTAGGATGCACCACTCCCAGAGCAGAGACAGAGTTCAGGTATCCTGGCTCCTATAAATTATTACGGTCTATATTAAACAACATATAACATCACCCTTATTTACAATGAATTCCCACAACACTTCTACAAAAATACAGCAGACCTGCTTGTGAAATGTAATTAAAAACACAATTTCAATGACAGAAAATAATCCAATTTTAAAAAGTCTAGTGTTTTTTCCTCTACTCTTATTTTGGCTTCATTTAATAAGCATTATTATGGCTGAACATTTACAGCCACAAAAGAAAGTTATCAATGAAGTCAGGATTACAACCCAGGAATGAGGTGTTCCCAATATCACACATATTCCTCCAGATCAGTGGTTCTCAAACTTTTTCTGTTCCGGGCACTTGTCCATAACTCTTGTGAATTGAGCAGCACTAAGTTTTATCATCTATTTAATACAATGCTTAGTTCCTTTCACAGGGGCCCAACAGTGGAAAGGCAAGGGGAAAAGGAGCAGCTGGGCAGCAACAAACCTGGGCTTATCTTCTTATACCCCATGGCACCCTTCAAAGGATCTTACAGCACCCCAGGGTGATACAGATTAAGAGTCACTGTCAAAGACACAGCTTGAGTCACAGATTAAGAGTCGCTGTTCTTGATCAAGTATACCTTTTTTGACTAATCACTACACACAGTATCCTTAAAATTAATGAAGTATGAAAAGCTTACATCAGACTTCACATTGATTGCAAAGATAAAATTATAATTAAAAAGCATTGAAAAAAAGATAATGAAGAGCTAAACCCACGATAATTGCTATCTGTTTTCCTTCCCTGTGGAATTCAGCAATCTTCAGAAATTAGAATGGGATTATATCTACCACTGGTCACACAGAGATAGATTAAATAGCTGTTTCACACAAATTATTTTACAAATATGTTTCTTTGTTGTTGTTTTTTTAAATAACAAGGAAAAATGACAAACCAAATGCATTAATTATGCAGGTTGATCTATTTATGTGTTATCCCTCAGGAATTATGGAAGTAATAAAGATAATTCAAGCATTATCTTTCTTACTGTTTGAATCCTAAGTGGTTATTAGTACACATTACTTCATTTCTGGAAGAAATCTTTCTTGGAGGAAAGATATAGTACAACAGTAGAATTATCATTGAGTGATGATATTAAAATGTTGCTAGAATTGTTAAAAGTATAGAAACAATGTGTTACCAAATAACAAATGCACAGCTGAGTTTATCAAAGTATCTAATGCTTGCAGATCTTCAAGTTTGCTTCTAGAAATTATTTACCAACCTCATTTCCCAGAGACAAGTGAAAATTAAAAGTAATAAGGGCCCTGAAGGTCCACCATAAAAGACAATACAATGTCAATCTAAAAAAAAAAAGAGGTTTTAATTGAAACATGAATTACTCAGTTTTTCCTGGAAACCAAAAACTTTCTTTGTATGTAGCATAATAGCTCACTGCTCTTAAGTGTATAGGTCTGTAGTGCAACAGGGTGATTCAGGGGTGTCAAACTTTTGGCCTGTGGAGTGGATCTGGCCCATGGAGCCCTATGATTTGTCCTGTGTGTCACTGGATTGGCACAAGCCCCACCTGCTACCTGCATGATGCATGCCACTCCACACAGCTGGCCCTGTGCACAATTTGGGAACCAATCTGGATCAGTCCATCCAGGAACAGCATACAACGATGGTCTGGTGGGCTGCTGCATGCAGGATTTGCTGTGCACAGGGCATGCAGGGCCACCTGCACATGCGGCATGCAGAGCCAGCACAGGATGTGTCCTGCCCACAGAGTACCAGCTGAACTGACACTGGACACAACACATGGGATCAGGTGGGTTGTATGAAATGGCCCAGATCAACCCCCTGTACCGCCTATAGAACTGAGCCCATCCTGCGCTCCGCGAGCTGCACGTGCCCAATGCCAGCCCCATGTGCTGGCATGTATTTATGGTTAAACAGTGGGTTTTTTGTTTCTGTTTTTCCATAGGTACTACAAAAGGTTTAGTTCCTGAAACCAAGAATAATTTTTATCATCCTAAGACAGTAATTTACAATGGAAGTTTCTAACCATCATTGGAGGTATAATACTTGGGTGTACACATTATCACCTAAAAGAAATATGGGAGAAATTATATTCTTTACATTATCTGTCATTGATGATCAGCTGCTAGTGCATTTTAATGGGTGGAGAGTAGCAGAATAACAGAGTCATATTCTGTACCCTTATTAAGTTGATGTGTTAGAGGTGTTTACTAACAAGCTTCTGTTTAAAATTTCCTCTGTATGAAATATAGGTCTATAAGATGACTAATGTAGTCTGTTGAGTAGGAGGGCAAGGTAGCAATATCAGAACAAAAAACAAGCTGATACGTAACCAGAAGCAACTGCAAGGGCCCAAGCCCAAACTGAACACCTGTCAATAGATTTAAGCAAGGTTTAGACTATTTTTTGAATGTCCTGAAAGGACTGTTTTATCTGTTTTTTGTCGGTGGTGTTTGCGCCGCCAGCATGTGCAACAGTAAAATAAAGTTTATGTTCTATATTCTAATGAACTGTGTATTCAAATTTAGAAAAGGTGTCAATTGCTAAGGATCAAGTTCTGCATGTCAGTTACATCAACAATTTCTCCTTAACTGTGCCTAACTATGACTAACTTTCAATATATAAATGAAAAACATTCTTTCTAATAATGCAACCATGTGAGAATCCACTCATCTTAATCAAACCTATGTTTTAAACAGTTGGACCCTGAGGTATGGCTTTAGTTACTTCTGGGATAAATTCTTAAAATAATCATGGCAAAGTGTTCATGTATAGAGTTTAAGTATAGCTTGATACGTTCTTATGATAACAATGCAAGGATAACTGAATATATAGGTGGATGTGTGTTCCAGTTTGGCTGTTTTTACCTAAACTTCTAAGAACTGATTGGTATGGAATAAACTCATAGTGAACCCCAACTTCCAGTCACTTCAGAGCAAACCTTTAAAAAATGAAGTGTGTCTGTGGCTGGTTGTTTCAGAACTCTGTATTTCAAAGGTGGCCATTCTTAGTGGAGCATTATTTCTAACTGATCGTTTTGTTGAGGTTGTCAATGTAGAAACCACTCGCAGCAGATGACAATAGAATACATCATGTAAAAAGGTTTGGGCTTGCCAAAAGAATATTTTGTGTCATCAATTAAACTGACTGTTGGAACACAAGGGCTTCCAGACTGTTTTCCTTTTGTCTGTGAACTGAAAACATGAAATGTCAGAGGAGGTAGAATCATCCAAGACTGTTGAGTTCTGTTGACCAAGTCAGAGAAGCATATTTCAGCTGCTTCTTCCTATGTCAGCTCCTGTGTCTCCTCTTTTTGCCTTGAGGATTTTTGTGAGATCGGATGGAAAGAATGAGGAACTTTTAAAAAAATGTCTGCGCTTCTCAATTTCAGCTGCGTGTCATTAGGGCACTAACAACTTTTTTGCCCATGAGGCAGTTCTGTGACTGCAGCTCCAAATGAGTCTCGTCTAAGCAGAAATGTGCAGTTACTCCAAAATTATTGCTAGACGACACAATACAATTTGGAAAATGAATTAATTGACACAGGTTAATTTGGAAGATGAATTAATTGAAGGATGATTTTTTTTTTTTTGCATAGAAAGTCCCTCTGAAAGGTTTACATAAAAGAAATTTGAATACTTGACTTTTATGCCTTTGAGTTGCTAATAAAATCTCTCGCTCTTAAATTGACTGTGTTCTGGTTCTTCTTTTTCAGGAATAGGAGGAATTTTTAATACTGAAAATCACCTATTAGATTAGCAGACAATCAATATTTGTAAAGGAAGAAAGGTGATGCTTGGTAAAAGCTTTCCTTTTCCCCTTCCACGGATGAATACAGATTGAAAGGACGTTTCAGCATGAATTGTCATACATCACTATGTCTTGTGCTGACAATGGTTCAGCTATGGCCTTGCTTTCTAAGTATGCAAAGACATAGCATCCAGAATACAGACCAACCTTTTTCAGCAGCCCGGAGAGTGAAACGTGGTTGGGTGTGGAATGTGTTTTTTGTGGAGGAGGAAATGAACTTAACAGAGCCTGTCTATGTTGGTCAGGTATGTTAACACTTCTGTGATTGCTGCAGTCATTAGTTTAAAAATAAGTTTTGAGTTAACATGTTAATTATCATTAATTAGAATCAGATAATTTGACTTTGCACAAAGCAATCCTTCCCAGTGATTTAATATTCTCTGCTCTGGGTTACCTAGGAAAATGAATTGAAATTTATCAAAAGCCTGCACAACATTTGTCCGCACTGGCCCTGACTGTAGAATGGGCCCCAGGGACATGGAGTTCATTGAGGGAACAGAGATTGTATCTACTACTGTGTGGTATTAGTATCTCATTTGTCTCAACACCAAATTCATTATGCAATTAAAAATAAAACTGACACAGTGGGTGTTGACACCAGACTTTTAAGTTCCTTCTATCTTCTGAATGAAAGCTAAGGACTCATTTATCAACATCTGGCAATTTGCTTGTGCTATTTTTGGCACTGCATAAAAGCAACCATACTGAGTGCAATGTAGTTTACAAACAGTATTTAGATGATTTCCTATTACACTAAGTAGCAGCTGATTTACCCCTCATTAATTTTTAATGAAGCAGATTAATACTAAATCCTTTTACCACTGAGAAGCTACAGGAAACTTCATGGTTCATTAGATTAACATAGCTTTAGCACAATGAACAATTATTTTTCACCCTCTTTTAAAAATGTGCTTTAAAATAGTTTTCTTAATGAAACTTTATCACCTCTCTGTTTATTATTATTTATCATTATTTTATTTTTTTTAAAGACAAGTAATTGTAATCTCTATATCTGGTGTCCTTTTCTGTAAGGTACTTTGTAGATGAATGAACTGAAATAAGTTTAACTGCTAATTAATGAGCACTAAAATTTAATTAGGCCCAAAGTGTAGAGTGCTCAAAATTCATTAATTATTTTTTCAGAGTCCCTTCGAAGTAACTACTGCAGAAGTATGAGGTCTCACTTCTAAAAGGAGGTAGTGGAGACATGGCCTACGCTTTTGTTTCTGGAAACTCAGTTTATGAATAACAATAATAATGTCTTGTATTTTCAAGAAGTTTAAAACAATTTTCATATTCTTGCCTTTTTATTTTGCAGAGTGCAACAGGCAAAGTTAGATACAATTTTATTTGCCGATTATAGTGAATTTATTGCTGTTTAATTGTTGTTTAAATCAGCCACATTTACTACAGAAAAGCATATGCTCAGCTGTCAGTAAGTGAAGTGACAGTCTAAGATCAGCTGGTGACTTTTTAGTAAATAAGACCCTGCAGGAAACTATATCAACAAGAGCCCAAAGACAGACCGCCTCTGTTATTAGCTGTCACTTGTTCCAGTTCACATCTCCTCTTGATATACCGCACAATGAGACCTTATTCTTTCTGAACTTTACTTTTTTTGATCATTTCTTTCTAGTTTTCCAAATGTCCACATGTATTTAATATTTGCTTATGAATGAATAGTGACTTCAGCGATCACGTTTTTGAAAAGGAATGTGTCCATAAACGTAACTCGAGACATATTAAAGCAACTATCTAGCCTCTTGGGCTGAATTCTCCTTTCTGTTAAAAAGGGATTCTTTTGAGAGACAGTTCTGGCTTAAAGAAATGTATATATCTTTATAGTGTAAAGAAACCTTAGCATAAATAAAAAAAATTAGGTTCTTTGTACATATTTGCATTTTTTTTAAATGATAGAAAGAATCCAATCTCCAAGCAGCATAGTCATATCAATACATACAAATCTTCTGGCCAGAATTACTTAAAAAGCAGTCATAGCACTAGAATACAAAACATTGAGACTGTCTTCCTTTTTGACAGCTGTTTTTTCCTGTGTTCTAAATTTTATAACTTTCTTGTATCTTCTAGAATTTTTTTCTGCCTCACAGGAATGGGCAGTTTACTTTCTGTTAAGAGTGGCTGTAATATTTTTGACGAAGCTGAAACTTTCTAAGATGATATATTGGATTCATTGGGGGGGAAAAAAGACTGGAGAGAAGTGAAAATATACTGTTATTTTCTATAGCCTGGAGATAAGAGCATTAGACTAGTGTGGGGAAAGCCTGTTTGTACTTTGGCTGATTCAGAGTGTCCTGGGATGAGGACCTCTGCCGTAACTCAGGCAGAAGGGGAAGTTGAATCAGTGTTTCTTATGATTTAGAACAGTGGAGCTCAACTTTTTAGAATAGTGGGTTAGGTGCTTGCAGTGCAGGAGAGGGAGGAAAGTGGTTGCCTGCCACGTAGAAAGAGATAGAGCAGGGAATGCTGCAGAGGGGATCAGTGGAATGGCACAGGTCAAGGACATGGACAAGCTGGGCTAAGCTTCTTGCCACTGATCCTCTCATGGGTCAGATTCAGTTATGCTGGGGGAAAATCCAGGCTATGGGCCATAGGTTGAGCAGTGCAGTTCTAGACAGCCTAGAACACCTTACCCACCCACAGCCACATTCTGAGTAAAAAGGAACAAATATTGTTCTGAAAACTAATACTTTTTTAATGTTTGAAAGGTTTTGGTTTTGTTCTGTTGTAGAACTAAACCAAATTTTGAAATCACCAGATGCCATGATATGAAATTGTCATTCTCTAGTTAGGGCCATGGCACATGTAACACATAGGATATGTTAACTGTACATAAAATAAAAGAGTATTCACGTTCAGTCAGCAAAATGTGTAAGGTGCCATCATATTGAAGCAAAGTTAGGACTTTTCATGCAAGGAAGAGCTCCAGATCATATTAAGTAACATGTATTCAGCTATCCTTGTATTGTCTTCATGGAACAAGCAAACAGAACTTGTCAATTGTTGGTTCCAGCCTCAACATTGCACCAGAGTCCTGAACTAGCTCTGGTGTAGCGTTGGGACTGGGACCAACAGTCACCTGGTGGCACCACACTGGAGGCTTGAACCAGCTCTGGTGCAGAGCTAGGCTAGAATTGATAATCAGCAAGTTGTGCATAAGAGATCATGTTAAAAACTAGTAGTAAACATTACCATGTGACCGCTCAGAACACATAGTAACTTTTAATACCATACAGTAATGCTTAGTATGATCTAAATAAAATACGTGCTCAGAGTCGCATGCAATAATATCCTTAGATTTCGTTAGTAGTTGTAACAGGGTAAGGCAAACCTATTGCAGTGCTAGCTGCTGCACAGTAGGGCAATAGGCTGGAGCCCTGCTGGGGAGACAAGGCACTGCTATAGGTAGGCTGCCGGGGAGACCACTTAGTAACCCTAATTAGAGGACACCTGTGGCCAGCCCTGTAGAGTCAATGGACTGGAAAGGGACAGGACCTGAGAGAGATATAAGACAGAGCCAGAACTACTGCAGGATATAGCCCTGGAGGCTAAGAGGGAAGAGCTCTGTAGTGAGATGTCTGTTGCTGAGAGAGGGACTGTGAGCATGCTATGCCTGGAGATAACAAGTGAAGAGGATGAGGGCTAGCAGCTGACTAAGGCCCAAGGCTGCTAGGAGTTACCAGGGGGCTAGAGGTTTAGTTATAGCCAGACTGCTTATATTTTTGGTTTGAATTTTGACAAGTGGTTTGGGTTTGGGATTGTCAGGGGAAAGCGGAGGTCCACATAGTGGCTGAGGATATGAGAGTGTCTTGAGCTCTGGCAGGGCAGCCCAGAAGGGACAGAGACAAGGGACACGGGCCCAGCACAAGAAACACAAGGATCAGAGGCCCAGAGACACTAATGACCAACAGGGCTGGGGCCAAGAGAGCTGGACATGAATCCATGGACCAGGGCTAGGGGCTTGCAGCCAGAGAAAGGGGGTGGAGGCTGAGAAGGACAAGGCCCCAACAAGGGAGTGATCACATAGTAACACCTGTGAGACATGGGCATGGCTGTAGGGCTGGTTGGAGACTGCAAATAGCTTTTATGGCTACAAGTACCCTGAGAAGTAGGGATGGGCAGAGAGGGCATACCAAGCATGAAGCAGGACTGAGACCAGTAGGGTCTGGGTGGGACCTGCTGACTCTCAGAAGAACTAAGGGCTTACCCTAAGACCCTAGGCAGCCTCCCTTTCATATTGAATAGTTACATAAAGGCATGGCAGGAAACAAGAAGGGAAGGTACCTTAGAGCCAGAGCAAACCAAGAGTTGCATAGTTACCAGGGGTCATCACAGTTACCCCTGGAGCCCAACTTGCTACAGTAGTCCAAATTTAAAGTCGTCTGAACAAGGAATTCTGGAAATGTTACCTCCTTTCCATAAACCCTCATTTCCTGACTACCATTTACAATAAATCAATAAATAACATGACATGAAGATAAATAAAAAACACAATCCGTGGGATACAACACTGTTTAGAAAATGAAACATTATTTAGTTATTCCTCATATCTGTTAACTACAGGGTAGCTATGACTGAAACACTTATAGTATGTTCCCAAATGTTCCTACCAGCTCAAAGGGGCTAAGTTTACTTTTGTAGAACAGGTTGGTGTGTACCTTAACTTTATTTTCCAGGTATGTTTACTGTAGCTGGTATTTCCTGGTTTCAGAAGTTTGGTTGTTTATCTCCTTGCAGTCCTATGTGTTTATGTCCTATATGTTTCAAATGATACAAATGTATACACATGCACACACAAAAGTGTGTGTATGTGTATGCATATTATTGCCCTTTGATATAAAAATAATTTAGAAAAATTTTGAGAGCTTTTTTTCTATATTCCCTCTTCACTATCTTTTTGATCAGTGTGTAGGCCCTGATTTAATAAGCCTTCTTATGAATATGCTTACATTCCATTGACATAAATGCTTAGTTCAATTTTAGTTTTTAAATGACCACAACTTTTCTATGGGTAATTATGCATAGTATATAGTACTTTGCTACCTCAATTAAATAATGTTCCCTATCCAAGGTCATTGGTGTTTAGTTTCAAATAGAAAATATATATACAAAATAAAAATGTATAATTATTTTCAAATGTCACCCAGAAGAATAAATTGTTCTCTTTGGTCTTTGCAGCTAAAGTCTGATTTAGACAAAGAGGATAGCACCTTTAAATACATTTTGACTGGCGAGGGAGCTGGAAACATTTTTACCATCAATGAGACAACAGGTGTCCTTCACGTGATACAGAAACTTGATAGAGAAAAGAAAGCTCTATACACTCTAAGAGCGCAGGCAATTAACAGGAATACTCAGCTGCCCATGGAACCTGAATCCGAATTTGTCATCAAAGTTAAGGATGTCAATGATCAAAAGCCACAGTTTTTGGATGGACCTTATGAGGCCACTGTTCCTGAGATGTCTCCTGAAGGTACAGAATGTCAAGAAGCTGGTGCTATATTTTATGCTTTGGAGGGCATTCATAACATTTAAAAATATTAATAATTTTTTTTATAAAGTGGCTTTGATTTGGAGAGGTTCCACAGTGTTTAGAAATTTAAAACTTAGAAATGTACAAAGAATTGTGCATATGCTTATCTGTAAGCCCAACTGTAGTCCTACTGGACCCACCAATATACTTGCCTTTGGACAGAGAGAGGTAATTTGACAAGGTCAGTCTGAAGTCAGGCGAAAGATAGAAGGGAGGGTAAGATGAGCAATCAGTGACTAACTTTTTCAGGGAGGCATAAGCTTTTGTAAGTAATACCCAACTTCCTTAGATGATTCTGACAAAGCAAGGTGTCACATACAAAAATTTATGCCTCTGACAAGTTAGTCTCTAAGGGTGTGAGTAGATGAAATAGGAGTCCTAAATTGAAGCAGTTGGGTTTAAAAAACACTGCTTCAATTTAGGGCTAATTAAACCCCTGTCATGCATGTACTCCGGTGACTTATCTGCCTCTCTGGTGGGGAGAGGAGTGTGAGCTGCCAGTGGGCAGAGAGGTCCCTGGGCTGCAGGGAGGGGAGAGGGGGGGCTGGTGCTTCCCTTCATGGCAGCGGCACCCTCCCCCACAGGCAGCATTTGCCCACAGGCATCCAGCTCAGGTGGTCCCAGGGGACACTGTAGCCATGGTGGGAAGCACCAGGTCCCCGTGCAGCTCAAGCAGGCAGGCATGCAGGCTCTGGGGGAGGAAGGGGAAGATCAGGCTCTCTGCTTTTTTGGGTGGAGCCTGCTTTCCAGGGCTGCTGCCAGGCTGCCTGCAGAGCCGCAGAGCTGCACAGAGTCCAGTGCTTTATTGGAGGAGTTTTAGTTTGCTGCACCCCGTGTCATTTAAGGTGCATTACGCTGCCAAATTTTCTACAGCTGCTGGAATTAATGCACAATATGCTACTAAGGTGTGCAAACACCGACACCATTAAAGTGGTGCAAAAGTATTTAGCTTGCTTTAAAGTGTTGTGCACACATGTCCCTCATTTTGTCTACACATGGCCTAAGATTCTACTGTGTTCTGTTTTGAACAGATAAGTAGTTATGTGTTCTGACTTAGGGTCCTAATTAGCAGGTGTATAATGATACACAGAGCTCTTCATTCACCACACAAGTCATCCCTAGGTTTGAAAATGGCAGTCAGTTATTAACAAGACCTAGCAACATAACATACCTTATTCAGGACAAGCAGAATACAAAGGAGAACTGAAGGTGAGGGAATGAAATGCTTGCATTTAAATTAGGGTAGGGCATCACTCTTCTACTCTTTCAAATAGTTCTACATGTGATCTTTACTGGCAACAGCCTGTAAGCCCTTCAGGTGTATAGCAATGTACAATAAGGAAGGGTGGGGGGCAAGGAAAAGAAGTAAACTTTGAGGGACTATGATTTCTATTAACTCCAGGTATATATAAGTATATAAATAAGAAGTGAACAGAAAATTATCAAATATACCTCCTTCAATCTATGCTGACTATGCAGAGGGATTAAAGCATAGTCTTTGTGATAGCCTATGTGACATGCATTGCCCTCCCCTATAAATTGAACAGAAAGGCGTTTTCTTTAAATCACCAGCCATCAGCATGGTCTCCAGAAGAATAGTGACAGAGTTTTTGCTTGCCCTGAAGTAAAAGTGTTTTTGCCATGCTGGTGCAGTCCTTAGACTGATGAACCTGCTTCCTCTCCCAGCTAATTTCTCTCTCTTTGGAATGAATTATGCCCTAGGAATGTAATAAAGAGAAAGTCCCTTAATTCTGTAAGCATAGGGGGCTGGAATATTGCCTTTCTTGTACTTCTCTCTCTGATCCTGCTACTGCACATATAAGAAGCAAAAACACCCTTCTACTTAAAAAATAATAGAAAATGAAAACATCTATCTCCAAAGTATTGTCTCAAAAGTTTGGGAAAATTGGATTCTTTAATGAAACCTCTCCAAAAACCCCAAATTTAATCTCTTTCCTTCCCTTTTGGTTATTTCAATTGCAAATAACATTGAAAAGAAATCTAAATAGTGTACTGGTTAAAACTGTGTGAATTAATGAGCTCATTACCTCAATAGCATCAGTGATCATAAAAAGTAATAAAAACTATGCATCATTCAGCATTACCCACTCGCTGTTAGGGCAGATTCACTGAATCTGTCACGGAGAGATGTAAACTATATCTTCCTGTGCCAGCTTATTTTTTACCTTCCAAGAAAGCAAGTTTATTTGGGGGGGGGGGGGG